GGGTGTGTGTGTAAACCTGAAGACAGACAGGCAGATAAAGGTAGGCTGTTGGTTGCCTGGAAAGGACATAGGGTTGCCAACTCCAGGTTGGAAACTTCCAGGATATTTTAGGGATGAAGTCTGCTGAGGGTGGGGTCTGAGGAGGAGGAGGAGGACCTCAGACAGATACAATGCCATACTCCCCACCCTCCAAACAAGCTGTTGCCAGTCTCCAGGTGACAGCTGCAGAGCTCTTAAAGTTCTGGTGCTAATTCAAAGTGCTGCAATTTATCGACAGAGCAGTGTTTTGGAAAATCTTTAGGAATTGTTTGGTGCATTTACGATGGGGCACCCACCCAGAGCCTCTGGCATTTTCTCACTCTGCTGGCATCAAAACCAGTTTAAGGCAAAATAGAGATATGGAGGGGTGGGACCTCAGACAGGTAGAATGCCATAGACTCCACCCTCCAAACCTGCCATTTCATCCTGGGTAACAATTGTTGCCAATCTCCAGGTGAGGGCTACAGATCACTCAAAATTACAACTGCTTTTCAGGTAGCAGAGATCAGTTCCTCTGGAGAAAACAGTGGACTCTGTCATTATACCCTGCTGAGGTCACCACAGCAAATTGACACTGTTTGCCCAAAGCCAGAGCACTCCCCCAGAGCCTCTTTCTAGATCTCGTATTTATTTCCACAACGGGCTTTATTCCTAGTAAACAATATAAACACTATAAACACTATAAAAACACTATAAACAAGGGCCATTAATCCATCTGTAATAAGAAGGCAGAGATAGATCTGCCTTTCATGTTTGTGAAGCAGATTTCATGTGTAAAACCCAAAATGAATAATTCTTATATTGTCTACATAGCTGGTACCATTGGGAGCATCTCACTTGGAGAGATATCATCACTGTAGCTCACTTTGGTTGTTTGGGGGATTGAAAAAACATCTGTAATGTGTCAATTAAAGAAATTAGACACAGAAATATTTTTAAATATTTTTATTATTTATCAACACATTACACAAACACCAACAAAAACACACAAAACAAACAAAACATTGATTAGGAGCACATTCCATTAGTTGTGCTTAAACCTTTTTTCTTTTTATACAGCAATCACTTCTTTTTGCACCTGTTCGATTACTTTATGCATGCACATGTAATAACCACAGTTTATATTTCTATTTGTGTTTTCTAATGGTTATAATATGAGTCACTTAAGATAGCTCTCAATCCATTTATAAAGTCTTGACCACGTTTTCTTGAAAGTATCTTCTCTTTTGCCTTGTAACAGCAAGGTTAATTTGCCCATCTTAGCCATTTCTAATAATTTGTAAATTATTTCTTCTTTTGGCGGTATTTATTCTTTTCTCCAGTATTTGGCATACAAAATCCGAGCAGTGGCTACAACATGTATAATCATATAGGCATCCGGGTTTTTATATTTTTCTGGTAATATATTCAATAAAAACAGTTCTGGTACAAAAGGTAGACATCTCATGTATCCAGACCAAATACTTTTTACTCTTGTCACATGTCCACCACATATGAAAAAAAGATCCAACATTTTGTTTTCATTTCCAGCAATCATTTGACATATTGGGATAAAATGTTGCTAATCTATCTGGCGTCATATACCATCTATAAAACATTTTATATACATTTTCTTCATATGAAATAGCTCTGGTATACTTTATATTTGTTTTCCATACACAGAAATATTGTTGTTGTTTTCGCTATACAGCAAACAACTCAAGAAGTGAAGTCCAAATTTTGAAGTAAGTTATGTCACTGATAAAGCTTGTAAGAGTTCCGCAGAGGTTAGTGACAAAACATAGTCCAGTTCTGCTGAATATGAAATGTCCTCATTAAGCAAAAAGGAGCAGAAGAGGAGGGTGGTATGCAGAGGGGAGCTAAGCACAGTTGGATGTTAAGAACGTGGCAAAGCACAGAATTTGTAGGGTATCGGAGACAGAGTTGACCCAACTACAGGGGTCAGGTCCAGGTCTTCTCTTGACATCCCAGGGGCTGGCTGGAAAGTGAATCTCTGCAGGAGAGTCACAAAGAAGAGGAAGAGCTCCATTCTGGCAAGGGTCTCACCAGCACACACTCGCCGACCTGTGACAAGGCAGATGGGACAGGGAAGCCCTGTTTATCAAACTAGTTTATAAAGTTATATGCCATTTCTCCCATGGAATGATGGCCAAAGTAATTTACCCTAGACAGAAAAAATTAAACAGGCCGACTAAAGTAGACAGCACCACAATGATTAACAGTACTGAGGAATAGCGCTAATCTTCAATACACACAGTTTATTAATTTCTGTAGTGAATAATAATACGGATTATTGACTTTATTTTCCATCAATCTCTTATATTATTCACACCCAAAATTATTTATTAATAGAAAGTGTTCTCAAAAAGATCCACCAACTCCTGTTGTGCCTAATTACTAACTGAGAATTGCTTCCTATTCTGAATCCTATTATCTTGTAACACCCGTTAAATATAGTTCCATTCAATTTCCTGAGTTCTTTTCCATATTCACATTAGCGACAATACATATATCAATGTAATAACTACATTAAGCATTCTTCTGTTTATTTTATTTATGTATTTTATTCAATTTATACCCCGACCTTCCTACCAAAGCAGGCTTAATGTTTACTATTACATTCTTCCAATCTAATTTCTTCTTCAGAAAAGCCTGCTCCGCCTAAAAAAGAAAACCAAATGGGGCTGCCTCTCATTCCTTGGGCGTGGGAAGGAATTCAGCCTTCCCTCCTACTGTGAGAAGACATACTGGGGGGGGTACACCCTCACCCTCCTCATTATGCCCACTGTTTAAAGTTAGAATTAGTTAATTGCCTTCAAACCCCTTAATTCTATAAACCATATCAATTATATCCCGTTTTAGAAAAAGGCACTATTTTATTGTGAACTAAATTACCAATCGTAGTAAGCATTCCATATAATTACTAAATGATTAAATAAATAAAGTGTAGCACTTTTATCTTTGAATTGCTCCTTGAGTTAGTTCCTGGAGGCCTCATGTCTTTGTGAGTTTTCAAATAGCCATCCTTAAACAGACCGAATTCCAGTCTATTCTCTGATCTCTTACAGCCTTAAACAGACCGAATTCCAGTCTATTCTCTGATCTCTTACGGCTTTACACTAATCTTGAATGACTAAGTGAGAGATGGCAAGTCGGGATGGTGTTCTTTCAATCAATGGACTTGGGTATGTGATCTGTTAATTAAACCCACAGTGATCAATCTAAGAGGAGTTACCTGCAGAGAAAGGCAGGAAGGCGTCTCTCTTGACAAACTTCCCTTCGGAATCAAGGAAGTGCTCAGGATAGAATTTAAAGGGTTTCTCCCACTCGGATTCATCGTACAGCACAGAGTACAGTAATGGAATGATATGCGTTCCCTGGAAAGGCAAAGCGATGAATTATTGAAGCAAATGAAGATGGCCCACCAAGTACAATAAGCTATCCTTCAGACAAAGAAAATGCCATCTTACAAATAGTTGAGAATTCAAATGTAATGAGACCATGAGACTTCACATACAATGAAAGCAAAATAAAAAAAAATTGACTTGGACAGACAGTATTTTCCAAATTTGAAATTTTTGGCACAATCCAGGCAAAATCAGGCACATCTCCAAATGTTTCCATAAGACAAATCTATGGGACATAGAAGAACTTCATTAACTGGCTCTGTTATTCCACAAAACTAAATGTTGGCTACAAAAAAATTCACAAATGTGCCATATTCAGCTGAGCAATGAATGTAAAGGAAAGAACAGTCACCTTTGGAATGAAGTAGCCTCCAAGAGTGACGTCTGCAGTGGTGGCATGTGGTGCGCCAGCAGGGGCAATATTACCAAACCTCTGAACCTCGTGCACCACCGCATCTGTGTAGGGTAGTTTTGCTCGGTGCTCAATCCGTGGCTGAGCGGACCCAATTACCTTGGTTATTTCTTCTTGCACTTTCTCTGAGGAAACAGAACATCCCCCCCCCTCCCATGAACTGAATTTCTGTTTCAGACTTTGAATTATTCCCTAAATATACTGGGGATATCATATTTAGTATGAATGCATCTTGCATTCTGCTCTTGAAAAAGTGCCCATAGTCAGAGACTTGGTGATGGAGGGGACCTCCCTGTACAGCCTTGGACTGTGATATCCAAGAGACCTCAAGAGGGAGATAGAAAGAGGGTTGAACCCACTTGGAAATTTTGAATTTGAGGAAGGTAGACATTAAGCAGAAGACTTCATGGACTAGTGATTTTTCTATGGGAATCTAATGCAGGAACAGTAGAGTTGTTGCTCCTTGGAGGGTATTCTTTTACTTCACTATCACAATAACTATCCCTTGGTCTCTCACCTACAGCAACCAAACTGAGACACTCTGGTGTATGTTTTATGAAGCACTTCCTCTACCCTTGCTGTCACTTTTGGCCACCAAGAGATTGTTTTTGTGATCACGGGAATGCAAGATGAACATCTGTGAAGAGGGGGAAGGGGGTGAAATCTGTGAAGCATCTGTGAAGAGGGGGAAGGGGGTGAAATCACAACCCCCCAAAAAAAACTTTTAAAAATGGTAGAAACAGTAGGGTGGGGAAAGTTCCATATGCCTGTCTTTGGTGTGTAATACGGTACAAATGAGAGGTCAGACTGAATTTGAAAACATATACCGTTATTGATCTAAAAACACTATTCTTTTTGCCCGGGGAAGCCATTTAAGGATCACTCGAAGTTCCTTTCATAGCTGCTGCAGGAGGAAGGGGGTGGGTCCGGAAAGAGTTCTTCACCCCTCCGTTCCTTTCTCTTTTTAAACTTTAAAGGGACTTTATCATTAAGCATGTAGATTCTCTGATGTTGCTTTTAAGCATACTCATGGCATTATTCTTCATCGATGTTATGAAGTTCCAATTTCTTCCCCTCTGGGGTAGTCATAACTGGGCGCCCATGTCTGACATGGACGCACTCGGTCAGCTCCTGCATTGGGGCACTCTCGGGCTTCCACCCACTCGCAATGAGCTCCTCTCCGAACTCCTCTATAAGAACCACCGATCCGGCCGTCACATGGGAGCTCTCCCCTGGTGCGACCGTTCTCATTGTGCCAAAGCCCTGCTTCCCCCCAATGGAATGTTTTTTCAGTGTAGGTTTCCCCTAGCCATTTAACATACAAAAAGAGTTGCCAGTCCCCTACCCCCAGTAGGCACTTCCCACCACCACTTAGATGTCTGGCAGGGGGGAAAGGTGCCAAAATGGGGTGAGGAACATCAGCATCACTGAGAAATGATGTATGTTCAGTAGTGATATCAGCATGTTGCTGGGGATTGCTCTTGCATTTGGAGAAAACTCTGTGGTTTAGCTATATGTGAACCGTGAGGTGGAAACTCGAAGGGATGGTAGTGGATTGTTGGTGAGGACACCCCCCCAGTAAGTTCCCCCTTTGCCCCCTCACTGATTTCCATTTTTTAAAGTCACCAAAAGCTTCTCCATGGCTATTGTAATGTCTGGTTTGGCCCTGAGAGAGTAAGAGTGAATGGTCACCCTCTAAACATGGTTTGGATCTTGGGTAAGGGCACAACAAATGCAACTTTAGAAGAGAATTCAACCCACTCATTCTGAAATATTACACCAGATAGGAAGAAACAGGGAGGATAACTCACTGGCACATCTTGTTTTCCCTCATTCAGGTAACATCCGAGTTAGTGTGAGCTAGCTCACAGTTTTTTAGCCTCTGGCTCACAGATATTTGTCTTCGCTCAGGAAAGATGGCTCCAGAGCAAACTAATTGATGCAGCAGCCAAATAGCTCGCTCACAACTTTAATGCCAGTAGCTCACAAAGTAGAATTTTTGCTCACCAGACTCCACAGCTTAGAGGGAGCATTGGTCTCAGGTCCCATCCCCCCCATTCTTACCTCTGTGCATACCTAGAATCCAGATATCCTAGAATAATGGAAACCAGCCAATGGAAAGGACTTACTCTGAATTTCAGGGTACTTCATCATCAGCAACAAGCCCCAACGCAATGTAGTCGAAGTGGTCTCCATGCCAGCCCCAAATAAGGTTGCCACAACAGCTTTTAAGTTTTCATTATGGAAAAATTCATTGCTCTGGTTCTTGTTCTTTTCCTAGAAGATAAGAAGAAAGAATTCCTTTCCTTTTCTTTGTCCAATTAAAACTCCATGGCTCAATGCCTTGAGCAGTATAACAATCTGAAATTTCATTTGCAACCTCTAGTTATTTCTCAAAAGACAAAAGGAATAAATTATTTTGTAACATCCAAAGTTACATTAGGATTTTGATCTAAAATGGGAACACCCTTCTTGGAATAGGACAGTAGAAACCCACCTACCACCGTAAAATGAAATGACATATTCAGATGGTATATAAAGGACATTCCAATAAAATATGAGAACTTGTATCTATTCTACCAAGCGAGCAAGAGCAAATCCTGTTACAGTAGGGAACAGGCAAAAAGCTGCCCCTCATAAACATAGTTGAAAGGGCATTCTTTCTAGCAAGAGTAAAGACTCTGAGAAGACCATGAGGGAAGAGAATCAAGGGGAGACATTCCAAAAAATTGTGAAGAACAAACTCATCAAGCACGAAGAATAGAATTGTTATGAATGAAGAATGGATCTGCCTAATTCATTTTTAAATTAAATTTACTCAGGGCTCTTCTTGTAGCAGAAACTCCTCTGCATATTAGGCAGGCGACACACCCCTAATGTAGCCAATCTTCCAAGAGCTTACAGGGTGTGTTGCCTAATATGCAAAGGAGTTCCTGCTACAAAAAGAGCCTGAATTGACTGATTCAGCAAGCCCCAGCGCCTTGATAAATTCTGTGGTAAAAGCAACAGCTGACCATTTCTTGTCCATGATCCTACATTGTGATGAATTATAAGAATCCTCCTTCAGTAAAGCCAAATTGCCATTAACACAAAAATGTAACTTTAAGCATAGATTAAGTGCAAATATCCATGCCCTAGATTCCAGTGACGGCTGACTAAATTTGATATACAAATCTACACCAGCAACACAGTGTAGAATGTTTAGCAGCTTTCTGAGGAAGTAAAAAAGTGGAAAATTAACAGATTCCATGAGCACCTAAAGGGATTACCTTTAGAATAGCTCCTGGTGCTGATCTCATCCTTCTTGTCCAAAAGAAGCTCAGAATACCCCCAATACAGGTTTAATTTTGTTTCTCACAGCTTTTTGATGCAAGGCCCAGTTTAAATTCAAAGCAAATAAAATTCGAAGAAAAGGGAATTCTTTAACTTGCTCTAATTCACACACACACCCCAAATGGGCCAACAACATGAGAGTCAGTGTGGTATAGGAAGAGGAGGAGGAGATTGGATTTATACCCCGCCCTTCACTACCCAAAGGTGTCTCAGAGAGGCTTACAATCTCCTTTCCCTTCCCCTCCCCACAACAGACACCCTGTGAGGTCGGCGGGGCTGAGAGAGCTCTGACAGAAACTGCTCTTTTTCAAGGACAGCTCTTATCAGAGCTACGGCTTGCCCAAGGTCATCCAGCCAGGTGCAAGTGGAAGAGTGGGGAATCAAACCCGGTTCTCCCAGATTAGAGTCCGCGCACTTAACCACTACACCAAACTGGCTCACCAGTGGTTAAGAGTGGCGGACTCTAATCTGGAGAAGCGGGTTTGATTCTCCACTCCTCCATATGCAGCAAGCTGGGAGAGCTCTCCTCCTGTAGGTACAGCTTGTACTGCCTTTTCCAGCCAGTTTGGTTTAGGAAAGGCAGGAAAGTACTCTAATCTGAGAGAACCGGGTTTGACTCCCCACTTCTCCACTTGCAGCTGCTGGATGACCTTGGGCAAGCTATAGTTCTGTCAGAGCTGTTCTTGAAAGAGCTCTCTCAGCCCCACCCACCTCACAGGGTGTCTGTTGTGGGGAGGGGAAGGGAAAGGAGATTGTAAGCGGCTCTGAGACTCCTTCGGTTGGTGAAGGGCAGGGTATAAATCCAATCTTTTCTCTTCTTCTTCAATTGTGACAAGTCAAGTCATATCCAGAGGGAGTGCTTGGTCGATACAAAAGTATCAAAAAACAAAAAAAAAAGGAGATTGGGCTCAACCCAAGATATCACTGTGATATATGAGGGCCAAGCTAACAAAATAAGTTATTATAGAAATACAAATATTTATTAAGGTGTTCACATTAGTGAAAGATAAAATAAGTTAAAAGAAATGATCCAAATATCAGACTCTTAAAACTTTTTACATACCGAGCTGTTAGTTTCACATATGCAATTGGTGGGTATATCTTATGACCAGTAGACCAAACACATTTCGGCCCCTTAGGACCTTCCTCAGTGGTCAATATTACTATTGTAAAATGACACACGTCCAGAAATAAATAAATGAAAAAAAGATTTTCTTTAGAGCCAGGTGTTGCTTTGTCACGTGATGTGCAATTGCTAAAAGTTTATGCAGTAGGTCATGGATAGTTGTTGCCAGAACAATTTAGAGAGCGTGTGCAGTTACCATGAGAGATTACCAATTATTATTCTGTCCACCCAGGAAAGGTACAATTTGTTCCAATTTCTGAACTCTCGGCTTTTCAGGGTTTTTTTAAAGTTAGTGTCCCCTTTTTGTTGCAGAGACATAAGGGGAAAGACAACTGGGGAATGGGAGAAAGCAGAATAATGTTTGTGCTGCATATTTAATTGGTGGTTTTCTTCTGGAAATCCCAGCTATTTTGACTTCACCCAAGCGGGATCCCTTGCCAGTTGGGCTGGCATTCACATGCAAAGAGACTTCAAATCAATGGGTGAGAGAAGTTCACCTGTTTACCTCTTGCTGTTGGATTAGAAAAGCATCAATAAAGCTCCTCTGGTCATTCACATCCAGTACTTTGAGGTGTTCTAAGAAGGTGGCCTGTATGAAGTCATACATTTCCCTCGCGTTCTTAAGGATAATCTTGCGACCACCAGAAAGAAAACCCAGAGCAGGAAACATGTTGTACAGCTAAAAGAATAAAATATGAGAAAAGGAGAGATCAAGAAATCCCCCAATCCTACTGCTGAGGCCGAAATCTCAAAGGTGTTTTGAAAATCTCCCATGATGCTGTACCACCCAAACCCTCCTGTTGGTTTCCATGCATTGTGGTGGTTAGGGCTACCAGGCTGTGTAGCCACCGGCAGAGTAGGAACAGGGACGTGGGGGGGGGGCGTTTGCTGACATTGCGCACACTTCCAGGCAAAACCACAAGTGATATCACCCTGTGTGTCTGCGCAGTCCGTTACGGACACGCATTATTGAGCATAAGTCATGCATCAAACTTAGAATCTCCACTCGTGCAACTTTTTATTGATAAGGGCCATAGCTTAAATGACTTTTCATTTCTAATCTTAGAAATTTTAAACAGCAATAGTTATAATAGATTTAATCTACAAAAGACATTATACCAGGGTTCCGGCTGGCTTCAAAGTTGGCCACGCCCACTACAGTCAAAAACTCTGCATGCGTGGCTACAGAGGGAAAACCTAGAGAGCGACCCACCCAGTGACTCTGAGGCGGGCGGGCCAGGAGGCCCCTGGAAGGATCGGGGAGGCATTTAAATGCCTACCCGTGCCTTCCCTGGCCTGTCCAAGGGCCAGCTTGCCCGGGCTCCTGGGCAAGCCAAGGGAAAGCAGTTTAAACTGCCTTCCCCTCCCTTCAAGGGGGGGGCTTGCCTGGGCTCCCCGCAGCCACGGGGTACCCAGGCAAGCCAAGGGAAGGCATGGGGGTGTGGCCTAATATGCTAATGTGCCATGCTGTCAGGGGTGTGGCCTAATAGGCTCATGAGTTTCTGCTTTTGGTTATGGCCTATTATGCTAATGAGTTCCTGCTGGGCTTTTTCTACAAAACAAGCCCTGAACATATGTCTCAGTCCTCTTTACTTCTTCTCAGTTTTAATTTCCCTTTGCTTGTATTTAGTCTTAACTGAAGAAGATTTTTGAAACAAAGTTATTAATAGCCGTAACCTTCGTGTCAATTCATCAGACTACTGACATGCTTGATCTACTTATGCTTCTTATGGCTTTGTTATTCGTGATGTAATATTCTCATTTATGTTCTTACATACATTACCATTTATTAGCTTCTGCTACTCACAGTGTCTTCTATTGTGCACAGCTTTGCCTATTTTTTTGATCACCCTGTGTGTGACATTGACATCTTTTAAAATCTTTCTCCCACTTCTGTTTCAAGCAGCCACAAGGGTTGCCTGAGGCCCCGGCCACACTTAAAGTGAAAAGGCTATTCCATATATTTTCTGAAACATTTCAAATCAATTGCAAGTTTCTCAGAACAAGTTTTGTCTCTGCTATGAAGTCCTGAGTTTGTCCAGGGGATCTTTAAAGGCATGAATGTGTACGTAGCCCTGCCTGTACCATTTGTACTGGTATCTCAACCATTTTAAAACCAAATTTTAAAGAGTTTACCAAGACGGAGGGAGTTCCCAAGGCCCGGACGTTTTCATTGACCAATTTCAGTAATTTTATTAATGTGGAATCTTCGTAGTCGTATCGCTTGCCGAGTAATATGGACGCTATAATATTGGCAACGGATGCATTCATGATTCTAGTAGTCTCAAATGGTTTCCCTATAGAACAAATATCACAGTGAAAACATTATGTTATGGAATTAAACTCAGAATCACTTGTGTCTCATGCATTAGTTTGCATATACTTGGCTAGTATTTATCATCTATTCTATGGGTACACTGAATGATTGGACCACTTAAAAGTATGGCTTGGGTATATTTGGTGCCCCCCAAATGCAAAGACAAAAAGCCACCTCACTATTGCGTACTGCCTCTTGAAGAGGCTATCCCAGTAGGCCTCAGAGCAGGGAGCAGAGTAGGAGGGAATTGGCTTAGCTTCTTATCTGCGTCAGTCAAATTAAGTTACACAGCTGAGCCATAAGGCCAATGTCTATTCCTCCTATTTATCAGTACTGAAAACATTTATGGGCAGAAAGCCCAGTGCCATCCACTACTGAATTAAACAAACCAGGCTCCCACCTATGAAGAATCTCATACATTAAATTCAATAGTCTTTTCACAGCAAAATATATAGAGAAAGGCTGTTCAGCAAATAGGAACTTATCGCCTTCTTAACTGCATGATGGAATGTATACCATCCAGGAGGGACTCAGTGTTGTTAGTTCATTTATTATGGTCAATGACCATATTCAAACAGTACAATATAAAAATATAATATAAAAGATAATGGCTTGAAAGAAAGAATTAGGATATACAAATCATCATATTTCATAGATAAAATATACCAATGATCATATTTCAGAAAAAAAATATCCTATATTATTCTAGGAATATATAATCAAAACAGGGAAGGAGAATTCCTACGGAACAGGTCTATCATTTGCCGCGCACTTTGATCGCTTGGGCATAGAGAACTTAGCTGTTAGCTCAGTAAGAGCTGGAATTTCATCAATCAATACTTTCTCGAGAGAAGCCTTATCTGTCAGCCCTGCTAGTCCATCCAAAAAAGGAAGGAATGTCTTATCTCTAGCTTCTTTATGAAAAGGACAATGGATAAAAATGTTTCCCTACGTTTCCAGCTTGTTGAGGGAGCAGGGACAGATCCTTCCAGTATACAAGATCTCAGTGCTTCTCTTTGCCATCTCCCTGCTAGCAGCCTGGAGGAATGCAGGACCTATGAAGAATCTGCAGATCCAGGCTAGGACAACCCTGGCCTAGGGCTCTAGAAACAGCTTAGTTAAGTATCATTATTCCTTATCCCAATAGCCAAGTTACCTGTCCTACAGTGATTGTGGATAAAAAGGCCTTCAGCCAAACGGGACTGGGTATTGTTTGTTCTACTACACAAAACTCGCCTTCAAAAGATTCAAACTTCTGTATTAGGCAACGGCACTCCTCGACAATTCTGTCTTCTATGGTCTTCTTGCCCATTCCGTAGTCCCTTAACGTGGTTATCGCAAACCGCCTCATCACTTTCCAGTTCTCACCATTAGAAAACACGATACCTGGAGAGAAACCAAAATCAGGTGTATTGATATGCAGAACAGGAGTTCGTTCCACACTGTCTGGCTTTTGGACTATAGAAGACCCTTCAGCCTGGTTGGAGCAGCTAAAATAATTCACCTACTACTGGGGACTAATATCGGGAATGGGGAGGCAGGAAAGAGATAAGTTCTTTGATTTGTTGCAAAGCATTTTCAACAGTGAGCAAATGCAGGAGAGAAACACAGGAAAGAAATCCCTGACCTGGACAGACCAGACAAGCCCGATCTCATCAGATCTCAGAAGCTAAACAGGGCCGACCCTGGCAAATATTTGGATGGGAGACCCCCCCCCCCAAGAATACTATCGGGAATGGGGAGGCAGGAAAGAGATAAGTTCTTTGATTTGTTGCAAAGCATTTTCAACAGTGAGCAAATGCAGGAGAGAAACACAGGAAAGAAATCCCTGACCTGGACAGCCCAGACAAGCCCGATCTCATCAGATCTCAGAAGCTAAGCAGGGCCAACCCTGGCAAATATTTGGATGGGAGACCCCCCCCCCCCAAGAATACCAGGTCCAGGAGTCCAGAGGCAAGCTATCAGGCCACTTCTCTGAATGTTCTCCGTGCCTCAGTAGGAGTCACCGGGGGTCATCATGACTTCTAGTCACAGACACAGACACAAAATACAAAAAATACCAAAAAAAACCCCAAAACAAAACACCAGGGAAAAATAAAATGTTTACTGGGTGCCACTGTTTGTCCCTGAGAACTGAGCCGGTTCCTAGCTGTATAACCAGCCATGTTTCTAGGTCGCCCTACTAGGGCTGCCAACTAGATATCCCACCCCATCTACTCTGTTCTCGCTAGCTGTACAATCATCTTTTACACAAGGCCAGGGATAGATTGACTGTCCCTCTTCCTGTGAGGGGCAATAATAATTTTTATTGATTCAGCCTTCCATTATTGAAATATATCCTAATATCATAAAACGCATTTTTCTTAGCTAAGAGCATGTATGCTTAATAAACTCGTTAGCCGAAGTAACTAGCTGAAACTGCAAAGGCAGAATTGTTAAGAAACACACCTGCTACAAGAAAGGGGAACTAAGCTGAGCTAGCCGCAAGACAGACTATGGGAAAAGCACCCAATTCTTACGGGAAAACGAGAAACTAGCTAGATTTTGCAACTTAGATCGAAACCACATACAAGTATGGAATAGAGCCTGGGGACTCTGGAATGTGGGGAGGGGTGGTTCAGTTCAGTAGGCGTGTTGGCTTAGATTGTAACTCCGGATGTTTCCTGACCAATCAGACTGAAGGAGAGGGATACTTGGCGCTTTCGGATAGGGTCTTGCTTTTGCATATAATTATATGAACACCTTTATAATGCCATGTAACCAATGTTCTAATTCAGCTCTTGGAGGTCCCTTTACTGACAGTAAAGCCTTCAGCGTTCACTGCTGAATTTGTCCTGTGTGATTATTTAGACAAATATTTTTGTCGCTAACATTCCCGTGAATAGACGTTCAATATGTCTCCCCCTTCCTTTTCTCTCTCCCTGCAACCAGCCTCCCTATTCATTACTGAGGGATGGGAGATTGTACTCTCTCTCTCTCTCTCTCTGTAAAGTGTTGTTCAGCCACAGTCATCTTATGGCAACCCCATGGGGTTTTGAAGGCAAGAGACAACAGAGGTGTTTTGCTAATGCCTGCCTCTGCTTAGCAACCCTGGAGTGCCTTGGTGGTCTCTCATCCAAGTACCAACCAGGACCAACCCTGCTTAGCTTCCAAGATCCGATGAGATTGGTCTAGCCTGGGCAACTGGGCTTGAACTATAAGGGCACTGCTGAAGATTATTAAAAAACCACCATATTCTGAATGTTTCCTCATATGGGGAAAGTGAAAGCTGCATGAGGGAAGTCCTCATATGATGAAGGTATGCATCCACGGCCACTGTTGTTTGTGCCTCTGGTTTTCAACCCTTTCCCCTATGTCAGCTAGGCCTCTGGGCAGTCTAGCTGCCATGGGTGTGTGTGTGTGTGGGGAGACTCTGGAATTTGACTTTAGTTTCTGCTGTGTTTCCCGTCTTTCTTTATCTATGTAACCGGAGCCTTCAACCTTGAGTGTCTGGTGTACTTTTCTCCTGAGAATTATCGCCCCTTACTTTGGCGGGTTTCCACCTGGCCTCTGATTGGACCTGAGCCATCAGGGGACCAATTAAATAATGCATATCTGCTTGCTTCGGGCGCAGTTCTAACACAAAAGCGTTAGGATATCTGCATACTCTCAATTACCTCAGGAGCCCAAACCTTTCCTGACAGATATAAAAGAATGGCACCGATAGTGTGGTTTTTAATAAAATAAGAAGATTTATTCTTTATAAAAGTCAGGTTTGATAAAGGTTTGGTATGAACCAAACAGTTGGCAGCCCAAAAGCTCCCAATATGAACAGTATTAACACTGTTGAAGGCTTCTTAAAATCCCGGCAGAAATAGTATAAACAAGAAACCCTCTGTTTCTTTAAAATAGGCAGGCAGCTGTAATGATAGAGAACATATAGAATGACTAAACCAGGGTTCCCCTGACTGGACACCCTTCTAAATACTGTGAGAGACGTTATGATGTTGTTTGGCTCAAAAATATCTCTCCCCACACACACACTCTCAGTGAAGGCTGACTGGACTCTGAATCCCAACTAGTCCCTCCTTAGACTCTAAGCACCCTAAGGAAACTAGAAATGATATACACCTGAGGGTCCTTTCATGGACCACTCACACTCAAGTACCCAGTTTCCCCCCCGCTCCGTGCTGGAGACCTGTCTGTTCCTAGGACTTTCCCCTGGATAACCAAACTACAGTCCTTCCCTGTGTGTGCTGGTGTCTTCCTTTTTAAACAGAAGACTGCCCTTTGACTCTGGCAAACCCCCTCAGCAGTCTCATCTGTCCCCCTGTTCTGTGACACCCTGTGCCACAGACTGAGAGTTTTCCCTCAGAAGGAAGCCACTCAAAGCCCCTTCTCAATCATAACTCTCAGGAGGACCGAGATCGTCAAACTGTCAGCTCTCTCTCCAAGCTTCAAGACCTCAACTGCCTAACTGTCCAGATCTTTTCCCCCTCCCAGCTCCCTGCTGGATGCATTCCGTTGTCACGGAGGCGGCTCACCAATCAGAGTGATCCTCTGCCACTGCCTATACTCAGGGTGCGGTCAGACGGGCCGTTTAGTCCGGGTTCGGCCCGCCTCGAAAAGGGATTTTTTCTGCGCGATAACACAGTCAACATCTGCCTCCCGTCCCCAGCCGTCACTTTCCGGCTCAAAACTGCTTTAACTCGGAGTATTTTGATACCAGGTCCCCAAGTGGTGTTTTCCTGATTCTCTGGTTCCAGTTGTATTTTTCCCCTGTGTGATCGCACCTCCGGTGTTGAGCCACTTCCGAATTAAACCCCCTCCCCACTTGAAAGCTGCCCGAGGCTTCCGCTTTTCGCCTACATTTTTAAAAAAGTGTTGGCGATGTGCGCATAGGCGGTAAGCGTTTAAAGGGAAGTCTTCCTTTGAAGTTTAAAAAGAAATGTCACAGCAGTCGGGTTGAAGTGGGAATTGCTGTTCTGCACACGGGCGATACTATTAGTTCTACAGCTGGCTGCCTGCTACAGATGGCTGCCTGTGCACACGCCCAAACTGAGAGAGAGAGAAAAACAAGAGTGCAGCAATCCGGAGCAAGGAGGTGAGTGTGATCGCGATTCTCCAGGTTAAAAAAGACCACATCAGGGCCAGAGCAATTTAAACCGCTCCCAGCATGCCGTCTGACCGTACCCTCAGACTGTTTTTACTTAGTTCATCACAACTGTATATCTGCTTGCTTTGCATGCTTTTAGCCCGTTCTAACACCAAAGGTGTTAAGATACCTGCATACTTTCTATGTCTCAATAAATTTTGCTTCTTTGAATGGAAGCTGTTGGGAACTGATTGCTGCAGGAGTCTGACGCCCAGTGCTGTTTCCATGATCTCATAAGAACGTAATAAGCAGGAGTCTGGAGCAGGGTTCCCTCTAAGCTGAGTTGGTATGAGCTAGTTCACAGTTTTTTAGCCCCTGGTTCACACATTTTGTCTTAGCTCAGGGAGGGTGGCTCCAGAGCAAACTAATTTATGCAGTAGCCAAATCACTCACTAATGCCAGTAGCTCACAAAGTAGAATTTTTGCTCACAAGACTCCACAGCGTAGAGGGCGCATTGGTCTGGAGGCAAACTGCTGCTTACCTATGCTGCAGCAGACTAAACACTGATTCCTCTCTAACAGGGTTAAATGGGCAGTAGCAATTGCGTGCCCATGTGTGTATAATGGATTGAATCCAAAGAGCAGAGTTCCCCTCACCAAGCACATGGAAGCTTATACCTTGAATAAAATTCTGTTGGAAGAAGAAGAAGAGATAGGATTTATACCAGCTTCTCTGGACTTAGTTCTTCTGGCCCGACTTTTCTGGCCAATTCTCCATCAATGGCTTGAGTCGAATTGGTCATCTGATCTACATGGTATTTTATGATATTTATATGTAAATTGTTATTTTAAAAATTTTAAGTGTATTATTTAATTGCTGTACACAGCCCTGAGCCCATCTGGGGAGGGTGGTATATAAATCTAATAAAATAAATAAATAAATAAGAACATAAGAGAAGCGAATGTTGGATCAGGCCAATGGCCCATCCAGTCCAACACTCTGTGTCACACAGTGACCAAAAATACAAGGTGCCATCAGGAGGTCCATCAGTGGTCCATCACTTTCTTAGGGCTGTTTTCTGCCCTTGGGGTTGGGAGGACCTAAGTGCTTGTATCAGACCAGTTTAAGTCAGAAGAGTTCTACAGCTAGGAAAACGCCAGTCTGCATCTCTCCCAGGATAATGTTTGGCACAGACTCTCCCTGGCTGTAAGTTCTACATAAGTAAGCAAGAATGACTTCACCATGGCCATGTTCAGCATCGTCAAACACTGGGATCTTGGGCCTGTCCACAAAGGCATCTGCCTGGTTCACCAAAGCCTCTTTTACAGTCTTGTAGCCTGACAGAACGACCATTTTCTGGAATCCCAGTTGGAAACTGAAGACAGGGCCATACTGCTTCGATAACTGAAATGCAATGAAAGGTAAATGAGAAACATACTTCCGATCATCCACATTGGGTAGCAAGGGGTGGGGCTTGTTGCATGTGCCCACCCCCTGGGCTCTTTACTGTCGGAGCTCCACTCCTGTGTGCTCCTGCAGGAAATGACCCCTGGTCACAGGTATGGTTCCCTCCACCCCTGACTTATGTTGAATTGGGGCTATGCAGTGGCAGCTAAGGTAGAAAAGCACCTCCCCCTATGCCATGTTTTCTGTGTTCCAAGGGTCTGGAAAGTGATTCCATAGCCACATGGTTGCCAACTCTGGATTGGGAAATACCTGTAGATTTGAGGGGTAGAGCCTGGGGAGGGCAGGGTTTGAGGTGGGGAGGGACTGTGGAGAGCGAGAGACTCCCGTGAGGCAAGCCCAGGAGTTCTCAAGTTCTCACAGGGAGATTGGCAAAGGGAGATTGGCAACGGGAGATTGGCAAACAATGCACAAGGTCTTCTGAGTTTGCATGAGCCTGCTAAACAAAAGAGAGCGCAGACTTTGCAACATTCGAAGATAATATCAGCTGTGAGAAGAACATAGTGTGATTCTAGTTAGAGGCTTCCAAGAGTAACGATTTCACTGTACAATGTGTGAGCTTGCTTTTTCCTCTGAATAAAACACTGCTGACAGGCAGTCAGAAACAGGTTTTTGGTACAGAGAGAGAGAGAGAGACAGAGAGCCTGATCAGTCAGCTTCAAGAAATCTGTTGTGGTGTGTCGTTATTGAACCCTCACGTCTACAAGGGACCTCAGTAGGATATAATGCCATAGATTCTTCTACTGCCCAAAGCAGCTATTTTCTCCAGGAGAACTGATCTTGGTCATCTGGAGATCAGTTGTAATAGCTGGAGAACTACAAGCACTGCCTGGAAATTGGCAATCCTTAGGGGAGGACCAGGTTTGTTGGAGGACCTCAGTGAGGCATACTGCCATACAGCCCACCCTTCAAAGCAACCATTTTCTCCATGGGGACTGATCTCCGCAGTCTGAAGACCAGTTGTAATTCAGGGAGATGTCCAGGCCTTCCCTTTCCCCCCAACCTCCATTTTACTGTTTAACTGACTAACACTTCAACTGACTCCCTGCTAATGCCCCATGGCCTCTTGGGACTCCCAACATGGGAGTTTATTTATTTTTTTTATTTATATCCTGCCCTTCCCGGAAGCGGGCTCAGGGTGGCTCACAACAACAAACACAGTACAAGCTTAATATTAAGCCAAGAGTTAATAAATAACAATATAAAGCAGTACAATAAAACAATTTAAAACTTTTAAAGTGGGCAGTGCGGTACATTAGTTCAACTCCTACAGCCATAGTGAATGGTCTGACACCGAGAATAATGATCTCATGCAGTAACAGTAGCAGCAATAGTTCTAACTGCTACAGTTAGGAGGGAGGGCTTCTAGTGTCCTGGCCCCACTGGTGGACCTCCTGATGGCACCTGGTATTTTTGGCCACTGTGTGACAGAGTGTTGGACTGGATGGGCCATTGGCCTGATCCAACATTGGTGTCTCTTATGTTCTTAGTTCTAACTGTAATTCTAATTCCCTTTGCTATGGTTGCAGTAAGGCCAGCTGAGAACTACAACTCCCAAGGTGCAATGGATAGGCCAATGGAGCCAGATGGATAGGCCAATAGGATACCAGATGGATAGACCAATAGGATACCAAGGCCACTTCCCCAGTGGCCAATGGGAGGGTAGGTGAGTCGTTGCCAGCACGGCTTGGCTTTTATATATTAATATATATATATATTCCCCACTTTTCTCTCCAATGGGCACCCAAAGGAACTTAGACCAATAGGATCTCCTGCCGGAATACTGAGCAGTAGATTCTGTTCTTTTCTAACTTTGCTGCCTGCAATGGAGAACAAGTGGACGATGTGTGGGTGGGTGTGGTCAGTTTATGAACCCACAGGGGGGAGACAGAACACGTATATGGAGCTTGGTCTATATACCCACTTTTCTCTCCAATGGGCACCCAAAGGAACTTAGACCAATAGGATCTCCTGCCGGAATACTGAGCAGTAGATTCTGTTCTTTTCTAACTTTGCTGCCTGCAATGGAGAACAAGTGGACGATGTGTGGGTGGGTGTGGTCAGTTTATGAACCCACAGGGGGGAGACAGAACACGTATATGGAGCTTGGTCTTCCTGATTGCAGGTCTCTAGTATTTTCTCAGTTTTTGTTACTAGATACAAAAGGAAATCACTGGAGTGTCAGGGGCATAGCCAGGAAATTTTGGTTGGTGGGGCACTGGGAAATCTGGGGGGCAGCAGTGGGGGTGAAAGAGAGGGAGAGGGCAAGGGAGAACTTTTGCATGCTTGCCTGAAGGGGGGCTCTCTTGGCTCTCAGTAGCCGTGATGTTTAGACTAAGGAGGCCTCGGTGGCATAGAAACTATCCCCCCCTGGTCGATCCTGTCCTGTCTCCTGCAGCTGATTGACACAGCAGAGAAACACAGGGAAGAGCACAAAGAGAAGTGGAATGGGAAAGAAGGCAGAGGAAGGCTGGTTTGCTCTGCGCGATGCTAGAAAAGTCCACACCTGCCATTCAATGCTCCCGCTAAGCTGTGGAGTCTTGTGAGCAAAAATTCTACCTTGTGAGCTACCAGCATTAAAGTTGTGAGCCAGCAATTTAGCTCCTGCATAAGTCAGTTCGCTTTGGAGCCATCCTTCCTGTGCTAAGGCAAAAACACGTGAGCTTGAGGCTAAAAATATGTGAGCTAGCTCACACTAACTCGGCTTAGAGGGAACACTGCTGCCGTTGCTTCCGAGGAAGAGTTCTTTGAAGGCTAGAGACATGTCAGGCATTTCACAACAGCCCCCCTGTTCAGACCTGGCGATGTGCCTCCCCCCGGCCCCACCGGCCCCTGGTGCCTGGGTGGATGCTGGGTGGCCGAGAAGGCTGAGGTTTACGCCGATGGCAGCAGCCATGAGCCTTTGCTCTCCTTTGCCAGGGATGCTGTGAGAGAAGTAGCTGGCTCTCCCCCCATATGACATGTGTTGGTGGCACGGGGGGAGGAGGAGACCCCTCATGGCTGTAAGCAGCCCCAGCCCACAATTGGTGGATCTTTAACTTATGCGGAGCAGGTACAGGAAGCTGAGTTAAGGCCCGGGAGGAAGGGGGGAGACCGGGTTTCTTTGCAAGTGACTGCAGCCTTCGATCCCACCTTGTGGCTGGCAAGGCAGGCTCCTCCCTGGCACTCTTCACATTGAGGCTCCCTCTTCACGGAGGAGTATAAAGACTACTGCTCTCTCGCAACCTGATTTGTGGGGTGTGGCTCTTAATTTAAGGGGCATGGCCCCATCCTGCCTCACTGTAGCTAAAGGTCTGTGGAGTGCCCAGTTAAGAATATGAGAACATAAGAGAAGCCGATGTCGGATCAGGCCAATGGCCCATCCAGTCCAACACTCTGTCACACAGTGGCCAAGAATACCAGGTGCCATCAGGAGGTCCACCAGTGGGGCCAGGACATTAGAAGCCCCTCCCACTGTTGCCCCCCGAAGCACCAAGAATACAGAGCATCACTCGCCCCAGACTGAGAGTTCCTATCTCTACCTTGTGGCTAATAGCCACTGATCGACCTCTGCTCCATATGTGTATCTAATTCCCTCTTGAAGCCGTCCATGCTTGTAGCTGCCACCACCTCCCGTGGCAGTGAATTCCATATGTTAATCACTCTTGGGTTGAAGAAGTACTTCCCTTTTATCTGTTCTAACCCGACTGCTCAGCAATACATCCAGCACACCCCTATCCCAAAGGAAGGATTCATCCTGTACATACAGTATACACGGAATCCTGAGAACCAAGGCTACAATCCTATGCATCTTAACCTAAGATGAACCATTTCCCCCTGAGATGCAAGTTTTCTATCTGGAAGAAGGGATTTAAAAAAAAATATGCAAAGCAGCATCCAAACATAAGACTTTCCGCATCTGTAGCTCTTGGTGCTAGCACCTGGAAACACTAGTTGCAACCTGAGGGCAATTTCTACCACCACCACCTTTCTTCTCCCTTAGCTGGTAGGAGGTTGTTGGCATAATACACTTAGCAGCTTTCCCTAACTTCCAAATTACTCCTCAAGGTATGACTGCTGAGTTTTCAATGAAGATCTAATTTCAGCCCCAGCCAGTGCAGTCCTAAGAACACAGTAACCCCCACGGAATAGACCTGAGCGAGATTCCGAGTTGACGCACTGGTGCATGATGTGCTTTGAACATAGCTTCGATTCCAACTTTCTGTGTTTTCATTATTATTGATGGGGTCCTGTCCCCCAACTCAATTTTCATTATGTTCTGTTAGAACAGAAATAAAATACAAAGTCCTTTTCAACTGGAATATGCATTCTCCAGGAATAGATCGGATGGTTATCTTCTAAACTCTGGGAAAAAGGGGGGTTGAGGAATGTATGGTTTGGTTCAACTTGGTAGAGGTCTGTGAATTCATTCTTGGCACTGCAATGGTTTAGTTAAACAGAGTTCAGTTACAACAGTAACTACTTCTGATGTACTGATATATCAAATACATTTTATTAACGCATAAGCAAATTACGTGACATATTTGTCTTCACATTAATGCTCGCATTTGGGATGGAGAAGCTTAAGGTCTCTCTGCCCCTACAAGATCAGCACAAGGCAGGGATCTAGAACAAAAATAACAAGAAGGTTACCTTTAACATGGTTCCGTGAGGTCTCTTCAGATCTAGGAGGTGGAGGTTTCCAATGAGTGGTAATGGGCGAGGTCCTGGTGGGAGATTTTTGCCACTGCTCTTCCAGAAATCGCTTCTTTTCCAAAGGAATGCAAGTGTGAGGGCAAATAGGAACAACACAGAAATAGGATTCATCCAATCCATTTCTTGCGACCAAGAAGTGGCTTGTAGAGGTTACAGAGAAATCTGCAATGGATTTTGATCAAGGGCTGTTTCTGTCCCCTGAAATGAGCCGCACAATTTTCTTTATATAGACACAGCCCAGTACTAGCTCTCACCAATCGTCCAACCCATGCCTTTTATAAGATATATTCTCCAATTTTCTGTGTGCTTGATCTATAAAAACCCTGTGTTTGAATGGGTGGTGTCTAATTCATCAAATGGAAACTTGACAGGACAGATCGAAACTCTCTTGACTCCAGACTGGAAGTTCAATGCCTTATTATCTGGAAGACTAAGCTAGTTAATTATCTACTGGGTCCAAAGAGAAATGTTGCCAGTGAATAGTTGGGTTAACCCCCGAACAGGTAGTTATTGAGAAGTTTCCAACAGTTGAACATGACTTCCTGAAATGTCTTCCCATTGAATTAATGACAAATATTTTGAAATAAATGTGAGGCAGTTGCCCCATTTCAATCTAGATATCAGGGTTGCAAAGGAAGAGAGACCTGCGTTTTTCTGTAGTGCTACTTCAATCACCTCCAGAGTTGTGTGATGAGTGGCTCATTTTTAGTTGGAGCGGTGGAGGATGAAATGAGAGCTAAGATGGCTAGAGCGAGGATGGCGGCGTACTCGTGATGAAGTTGCAAGAACATCCTATAGGGCGTTTATGAAGCCTATGAGATGGCACTAAAGACTGCCAAGACAGAGTTCTATGTGGCCTCCATTGCTTCTGCAATCTCGCACCCAGCCCAATTATTTAGAACCGTTTCATTGCTAAGTACACTACCGCAAGGCAGATAAAATAGTAGGGAATTGGCTATTGGCTGTGAGGCATTTGCGAGCTATTTTGCAGAGAAAGTTAGGATACTCCGCCAGGACCTCCCGACCACAATTGATACAGTAAAGGAAGTGGAAGCCCCTTGTCTGTCTTTGGGTTCAGTCTTGGACTATTTCAACCAGCTCTCTCAAGAGGAAGTCAAGATCCTGGTAGCTGTGAGGCCTACCACCTGCCCCCTTGGCTCATGTCCATCCTGGCTGATCAAAGCCTGTGGGGATGGTATTTGGGTCCCCTGGAAGAAATTATCAACTTGTTCCTTTCTTCTGTGACATTCCCAGTGGGATTGAAGGAAGTGGTGGTACGTCCGCTCCTTAAAAAACCATCATTAGACCCTGCGGTCATAGCCAACTAACACCCAGTCTCAAATCTACTGTTTCTGGGTAAGGTAGTTGAGAAGGTGATGGCAGAGCAGCTTCAGGTTTTCTTGGAAGACACATTCTTATTCCAATCTACTCCAGTTTCTGCTGTGACCATGGGATGGAGACGGCGCTGGTCATCCTCACAGATGACTGTTGGAGATACCTGGATCGAGGTGGATGAGTGCTGCTGTTGTTATTAGACCCAAAAGCAGTGTTTGCCACAGTCGATTACGATCTTATGACCCACCGCCTTGTCAACATAGGAGTTCGGGGAACTGCCCTCTTCATACAGGCTGTATGACCTTGGGCAAGCCGTAGCTCTGATACGAGCTGTTCTTGAAAAAGAGCCGTTTCTGTCTCAGGTAATGGAGTGACACACATTCAGACTTTTGAAATCTCAGTTACCAGAATAATTGGAATGAATATGGCTATACCTATGGACCAACATTAATACCAGCAACACAATTACAAACATATAAGGATACAACATCAGGTCTTTATATAAGTGTACTAAAGATCTTGTATACATATGTTTGAATGTGTGTCTATACTATGTTGTAATAGTGACCACTGAGGAAGGCCCTTTGAGGCTGAAATGCATTTGGTCTTCAGTTGGAACGTGTTGACCCATCATGTGTATTTATATATGACTAGGGAGGAAGGCCCGTTGAGAAGGGCGATACAACGGGCGGCTAGCCCCCCCTCCTCGCGCCCTCCCCCTCTCTGCCCTGACCCAGGCGGCGGCCGGTGTTAGCCTTGCGCCCGTCGGCCCCAGCCACTCGCGCCTCGTGGTTGTCCTCCGCACGGTGTTCGGCTCCCCCCCCGTCTTGACCCAGGTGGCTGGCGGGCTTAGCCCGGCGGCCGTCGTCCCCAGCCACGCAGCTCTTCTCCGCTCGGCTGTCGCCCCCTCCCTCTCTGCACGCCGACCCAGGCGGCTGGCAGCCTTAGGCTGCTGCCCGTCATCCCCAGCCACTCGGACCTCTTGGCTGTCCTCTGCCCGGCTCTCGGTCCCTTCCCCTCTCCGGGCCGACCCAGGCAGCTGCCGGTCGTAGACTGTGGCTCGTCGTCCCCAGACACTCGCGCCTATCGGCTCTCCTCCGCACGGCAGTCGCCTCGACGCCCTGTGCGGCCTGCGGCCCGTTGCCTCCAGCCCCCGGGAAGATCCTCTGCAGGCTGCGTGAAGCTGCGTCCAAGGTGGGACTCTGACGACGTGGCCAATGGGACGTGGCCAAGCCGCTGACGGACAGCCGAGCCGTCCAAACACTGTAGGGGCGCATTGCGTGAAGTTTGCGTCTTACTGCTTTATAATATAGGAGAGATATGCTTTTATTAGTCTGATACTTGAAATTTTTTTAACCTGAATATATTTTAATATGTGTACACCCTAATAAAATTTGTACTTTTATAATATACATGGTCAGCTTAACCCTTCTGGTTCGCAGTGCTATCTTGGGTTGAGTTTTCCCCTTTTCCCCCTCCCCTTTTTTCCAGTTTCCCCATTTCAACCTGTCTAGATATCAGGGTTGCAAAGGGAGAGAGACCTGCAAAAGGAGAGAAACCTTTTCGGTAGTGCTACTTCAGTCACCTCCAGAGTTGTGTGATGTGCACCAAAGTCTAAAAGAAGTGGCTCATTGTTGGTTGGAGCTGAGGAGGATTAAACGAGAGCTGAGACAGCTAGAGCAAGGACGGCGGCGTACTCATGATGAAGTGGCAGGAACATCCTATAGGGCATTTATGAAAGACTATGAGATGGCACTGAAGACCGCTAAGAAAGAGTTCTATGCAGCCTCCACTGTGTCTGTGAACTTGCACCCAGCCCAATTATTTAGAACCATTTGGTTGCTAACTGCACTGCCACAAGATAGACAAAATAGTAGGGAATTGGCTATTGGTTGTGAGGTATTTGCGAGCTATTTCACAGATAAAGTCATGTCGCTCCACCAGGACCTCCCAAACACAATTGATGCATTGAACGAACTGGAAGCCCCTCGTCCATCTTCAGGTTCAGTCTTGGACCATTTCAACCAGTTCTCTCTAGAGGAAATCAACAAGATCCTGGTAGCTGTGAGGCCTACCACCTGCTCCTTTGACCAATGTCCGTCCTGGCTGATCAAAACCTGTGGGGATGGTATTCAGGTCCCTCTGGGAGAAATGATCAACTTGTCCCTTTCTTCTGCGACATTCCCAATGGGTCTGAAGAAGGCGGTGGTAGGTCCGCTCCTTAAAAAAACCATCACTAGACCCTGCGGTCTGAGCCAACTACCACCCAGTCTCAAATCTATTGTTGCAGAAAGATAAAGCAGAAACCATTAGTGCCCTTATTGTAACCGCCCACCTGACAGTGGCAGCATTTTGCAAAAACCCTAAAGCACCTAGCATAGAGCAATGGTACAAAAAAGTGTGGGATCATTTCATTATGGCTAAGTTAGCCGACAGTATGACACAACTTACTAATGCTAACTATTGTACTAAATTTTCCTCCATTTGGTACCCAGTTTTGCAACACCTTTCGGAAAATCATATAATCCCTCCTAGATCTATTTATAAGGATTTTAAAGATAATTTTAAATTTCTGCTTGTTAGAATTTTATAATATGTCTCTGTGAAATGTCTTTGCTGCTGCATTTTGGTTCCCCCTTTTTCCCTTATATATATATATAATTATTTTTTTTTAAATGAAGGGGGGGATCTATTGTTTCTGGGTAAGGTAGTTGAGAAGGCGGTGGAAGAGAAACTTCGGGTTTTCTCGGATAACGCTTCCATTCTTGATCATTTCCAGTTCACTTTCTGCCCTGGACATGGGACAGAGGTGGCACTGGTTGCCCTTACAGATGACCATCAGAGACACCCGAACTGATGCAGGTTGGGGCTGCTGTTGCTATTAGACCTAAACAGCACTGTTCGACACAGCTGATTTCAGTCTTATGACCCAACACCTTATTGACATAGGAGTTCAGGGGACTACTGTACAGTGTTTATTTTCTCCTTTTCCCATGGTTGGGGACAGAGGGTTGTGCTAAGTGAGAGGGTCTCGCCATGATACCCACTAGACTGCGGAATGCTGCAGGGGGCAATCCTCTCACCAGTGCTGTTTAACATCTATACATGCCCCCTTTCCCTGCTGCTTCAGGGGGTTGGGATGGGTCGCCACCAGTATGCTGATGACACCTAGTTCTATCTGCTGTTGCACGGCTGCCCGGACTCCGCCCCGGAGAGCTTCAACAGGGCTTTAGAGGCCATGGCTGGCTGGTTGCAACAGAGTCACTTGAAACGAATCCCCACGAAGATGGAGGTCCTGTACCCAAGCCGGGGGGGGGGGGGAATGGATTCAGGAATCAGGCTCCCTACTCTGAATGGGGCACCGTTGGTGCCAGCCCGGAAGCTGCCCTTCGACGCCTCACTTTCTATGAAGTCCCAGATCACCACAGTCGCCAGGTCTGCCTTTTATCACATTGTATGTATTTATTTAATTTATAACCTCCCCTCCCCGTTGAAGCAGGCTCAGTGCGGCTTACATAAAAATGTGTTCAGCAAATAAAAAGAAACAAGTCAAAATGTAAACATAAGTATAAAATGTGACATAAAATGCTAGTGTATGGCAATGGCAAGACGTCGGTCGCATCAGCATAACAGGAGTACATTCAGCAATTGGTTTTGGGGCTGACGTCTCAGTCTGGATCATATCAGCAGAGCTCAGGCTGTTGATGACGGTTTCAAGGCCAGGGCCTTAGTTTTAAGTTCGGTGTGGCAGATCAGGCAGCTAGTTCCCTACCTCTCCCCCCAGG